TGCGTGGTGTGCGTGTGTGTGTGTACGTGACGATGTCAGGTTTTGCATCGCGGGCTTGCCACTACGGACGAGTGGTGTCGTAAGTTAGAAATCTGCCGTGTCGCGGCCCGTTTACGTGGCTACCACCCATGTGCGCGGTGCTCCATTGAGCCTCCTTAACCATTCTTTCGGAGAGCCATAGCAGCGCCAACAAACGATAGTTTTGCTGTATCGATTTCCGGCCAGAAGTCCTTAGAGCAGTGCGTCTTGCCCAGAGAATAATGTGGCATATACATATGCGACGCGGTTTGCCGGTGATGGGAAGTCGATGCAGCCTTACGTATATATCGGCACCAGCCAGGAAGGGTTTATTTACTATCGTGCTGGATGCCTGGTGATTTCACACAGTAGTGAACCGAGGTCGTCTGGTTGACTGTCTCAATGCAATCCAAACGCCATCTTATTACCAGCAGTGCGTGTTACACGTAGTTTAACTATAGTGCCAAGCCAGTTCGACAGACAGGCGTACTCGAACGAGCTGCGCGGATGCAATAGATGGACTGATTAAACAGCATATAGAGCATCGATAAACTACGACCTCCCCTTTGCATTAAGAATAATACTCACTGCACTGCACCGATGCCTTTGAGTCGCCAGCTAGATCTAGTTTATAGGGAGATACGACCGTCGATCTGCGCGATTATGCGTGTCGATAAATATCAACGCATCGTATATCTGATGTTGCCTCCGCTGTATCCGCCACTTCGCTATAATTGAGACAAAAAGCGAGAGAAAATGCTGACACGAGAAAGAAAGCATAAAAAAAAAAAAAAACGAAAGAGAGGCTGCCGGTTGATCGTTTGGGGCGTAGGCAGCATCTTAGGATATTATATATATTATATTCTTACGTAAGGCCTGAATTACATAATAATCAATCGGAATTTCGGTTGTCCGAATCTAGAGTCGGCCCATCCGCCGTTGTCTCGCCCGCCCTATGCTACATGCCATAAAATGATATGCGTAGACTCTATATGTCTTATATATATTCTCTATGGCTACAGACAGGGAGTACGGGCCTAATTACGCATGGTAGGTGTTTAACCGTTGCTAGCCTCGCGGCGCTATGCGGTATTTTCAGTAATCACGCCCTGAGCAAGGTGCCGCGTCTACTGTTGTCAACGTTCTCACCTGACCGCGTTAGCTCGACCAGGGGCTGCGAGGAAGATAATTGTCAATACACAATTAATGTGCTCTATCGATGTACGTATCAGTTGCTTGGAGCGCAGTCTGGACGAGAATCCAAGGGTCAGAGTCTGCGCCTTCTTCGTCTCATCAGCCCCGTGTAATTCAGATAGAAGAGCGCAAAATGAATGAGGACCGGTGCGAAAGCAAAGATCCTATTGTTGCGGAGTTGTGCCGGCACTAGGATCTTTGGGTGGAAGTTAGCTGAATACGCGGTTTCGACCGATCATTTCGTGTAGTAGCGTCACCTGAGCGCGTGAGGATATATAATAACCACGATGTACGTACCGCACACTATGCCAGTGATCTCATATAATATTAATCGAATAATATAATATTTATATATTATTTAATTATGTCTCTATATCATATCTATAATATGATTATCATTATAGAGTAATCAGATGGGACACTCATCCTTACGATCTTACATTATAGTCAGTGCGAGTAATTACAAAGCCACATGCTAAGACTAAGATGCTTCTCGTATCGCAACGTCTTTTCAGTACTATACCAATAAAATCGATAAGTCCAGCACTCTAATTAAGTAATCTATTTTTGACATCATGACAACGTCTATATCTATTGTCGCACAAAATAACTCGCTTCTTCTCTTGTAGCTCTTTTCTCTTGTTTGTTGCTCTTGGGAGGTGAGTGAACAACCATGTAATCAACATGTTAGAACGGGCGTCCATATGGCAGGCAGGCCTAAAATAAGCATTAACTAGAAATTAATTAAAAATACTCAACTGTTACTTTCGCTCTTACACAACATACACTTTATTTATAGTTAAATAAACTTTACAGATTCAATGCCCTCTATGTCCGCTCGCAAAATTTGCCAAACTCTATTGATTCGCGAATTTCTGAAAAGTTGCCTGAACACATTTCCAACAGCAACTGACCAACCGCCGTCCGCTGTTGAGGCCTACCACCTGACGGACATGTCAGGAAATGACGGAATTTGCGGAGGCTTACTGTTATATTGCCTCCTTATTACTGAATGTTGCTACAACGTACTATTGCGCGTGCAGTATGTAGTGTAATAAGCACAGTAGGCCTACATACATGCGCACAGATACGAGCGTCGTCAAATTGCAAAAGCAACACTCGGACAATGAATCGAATCGCGAGTTTTCAACATCGAATCGTGCGTTTGTAATACCAAGAATTTAAATCGCGTTCAACGCCGTTATATAGCGAGTATATATAGTAACAGGCCCGTAGCCAGGGGGGTTCGGGGGGTTCGAACGAAACCCCCCCCCGACTCCATTCCCCCCCAAGCCAAAAATTTTTTTTTTTTTGAAAATTTACAAGATTTCACCTCAGGTTCGCCTCCATTTTAGTGTAATAATTGCAAAATCTCCATCGTGTGGGAGGGTGAACAGTGAACACCCCCCTTCCCACATCTTCCCCCCGCTCGTCGCTTGGCCCTCGCCTGGTGCCTCGCGCCCAGAGCATGGGGCGTGTACAGGGGGGGGTCCAGGGGTCCGGACCCCCCTTGCTCGCGCAAAAAACGCGATCTGAGCGGGGTTGTAATTTTAACAAATTTCTGGGGGAGGCGCCCCCCCAGAATAGTATAATATATATTATTTATTCATTAATTTTAACTGTCTTCGATTGTGCTGGTGGAATACACCACCTTTTGTATTCTACGGGATTATCTGCATCATTCAATTCTGCATGGAGAATATACTGGTTTTAACACCAACTCGCACACGCCTGAGATTTTTGCGTTTTATGATTAAGATACAGATTGCATCCGAATATACCATTTATGCTGCGAAAAATTACGTGATTATTCAATAGTTTGTACTTCACTTGACCATATTCACAGGGCCACTTCGGAGCGCTCAATAAAAAATATAATGCTAAATAAATACGAAATCTATTTACTACAAAGTGTTAATGTTTTCTCTACTCTCTTTCGCTTTAATGCCGACAATTTCCTGTAATGCCGTTGCAATATGCTTTTCTGCCAACATACATTAATATAGAGTTGACATATAAATATTACGAGTGACACATAAATGAGACACATTTAGAAGCTGCAACATAAATATAAATGAGACACCATTAATATAAATATAAACACTATATTTATGTTGTCGCGTGCGGCCACAGACCCGTGCGTGCGGTGAACATGTGTGTTGCAGAGGAGATGCACGGGGTTTTACAGGAAATAGTCGGCAATAATAGGCGAAAGGAATAGAGGAAAAATAACTTTGGTACGTTAAATAGATTTCGTATTTATAATTAACATTCTTTTCTATTGACAAACGCTCCAATGTGCCTAGTAGGACTGATATGTGTCGCGGGTAGTAGACCTATAACGATTTACACGTTACACAGCGCCATATAGGCCTATGTATATCAGCGCGTTAATAATGTCATTATTAACCCCTGATGATAGAATATACATTCATATACTATATATATATATATATACTTATATAATATATTATATATATATATCAGAGTATACATAATAGGGAGGAAATCTCCTATTATAGTTTTCTTGATATATATACATACATTAATTTCAGGAGTTAATTGAAGAACAAACCGAACAAAAAACGAAGAAAATTTGTCTTCATTAACTTCCTGATATTATGTATATATAAACGACAGAGAGATAAACGATATAAAATGCTGAAACCGGTGAAATTCAATTATGTTTTCTTGCGTCGGTACCTTGTCACTAGAACCTCTCAACTAGCTATGACCTAGACCTCATATCTCAATGTACAAGTAACAATTTTACAAGAGCCTATTGATAGAAAGCATTTTCTAATTATAGGCTCTGATTTTAATTAATCTGTCACTGCAAAGCGAGTGTACTGAAATATTAAAATAGCCTTGTCGGTGGCCGCGCCTCGTGCACTATTCATTCACCACCGCATTTTCGTCTGCCAAGCTACACTAAGCGACGATATTTGAAGTTTTTACCGCTGCCCCCATCGGCCTTCTTCGGCCGAGTGTTCTTCTTGTCTTCCTGTTGCCGGCGACACCGACGTGGATGATGGCGGACACGGCGGCTCGGGCATTTCGTCATGCCACACCCATCACTGAACGGTGCGGCATTCGTTTGAATTCTCCGTACTGGCATGCCGCAATGTTTCGGCGATTGTCCGCCCTCCAAGCAGCTTCGTCTTCGGGCGGAGACGCAGGCCCTACTGTCAGATGATTGCCCTGGATGGAGCCGAATATGCTACGCAACATCATTACATTCACCGGATAGCCGAATGTCCGCCCTCTTTTTAAAACCACTACGTACACACGCACACGCAGTTACGCATATGCATGCAAGCACGGCACCGTCGCACACGCGCATGCACCAATCAGCACGCACATCTACACATCTGTTAGATCACAACCATGCATCACAATTAATTATTTGGTCGGAGAAATTGCACAAGTTAGTAGTAATCGTCGATATGAGTTATATGGTGACTTACCACAGTTAGCATGAATTGACGTGAGGGCAGACCATGCGATCATTGCCTACTACGGCCAGCGGTTTGTGCGCCAAGGAGGTAGCCACTCCGCCGTGGATCAGTCTCGCCGCGGCCGTTAGGCTAAGAATATTGAAGCTTGTCGTGTTCTCATTAACTAAGCCGGCAATTAACATGAATAATTAGCGACTTCGTGACTGAAAGAGTGACGCCAATATTGCCGTTTCTTCCTCTCACAAAGTTTTGATCATCGAAAGCTGCTGAGTTACGACTATCTGGCCTATTAAACGCACGCACACTTAAATATTCCGTGTGCGTATATGTGTGCGGGGGACAAAGCAACATAGCGTAGCAGGGAATGCACTCACGCACAGCACTCACTACGCACGCACACACGCAATGCCACGAACGCAACGCACATAAACACACGCCACACACACACACACACGCACCACACACAACAACACACACACACACATCAACACACACAGCACACACATCACACACATACACACACACACACACACACACACGCACACACACTATACGCTTACGCACGCAGCATCGCACGACGCCAGAAGGAAGAAGAGAATTGAGAGAGGGAGAGAGAGAGAGAGAGACGACTGAGAAGATGAGGGGAAAGACGAGAGAAGAAGAGGGAGAGAGAGAGAGAGCCACGTGGGCGTTCATGCTTATACATAATACGTACCTCGGCGAAGTATGCCCACAGAGAGCATTGCCCATAATGCCGGCGGCGGCTCACGTGCATCACTGACGGCTCCCACCGGGTCGTCGATGGCAGGCGGTCAAGCAGAGGCGCACCGTTGCCAAAGTGATTATCGCTCGATGGCGCCAATGACCAGTAGCTTCCACGGCCGCGACACGCCCACCCGCGCTGGCAGTGTACATGCAAGTGTATACAAACGGGATAGCAGACTGATAGGTCCCTGGAGTAAATGAGGTAGCACTTGAGTCCATTTATTCCTATTTTTTTTTATGGACTCTGTTAGTAGACGATCTGATAGTAGCCAGGTACATAAAATTTAATAGAGAGTGTCTCATTTCATCAATCTTCTATTTATGCCCACTCCTGCATTTATTAGGAATATATAATACTAGAAGTGATACTAAGAGAGCAACGTATCCGTGAGGTCGTTAACAAAGTTTTTGACAGCGATATTTTTGTTGTTTTGCTTTGTTTAGTAATATTTGAATGGTGTTCATATTCAGGCATATTTGCCTATGGAACGCACCGCATGTGTACAATAACATCAATAATTTGCCAAGTTAGACGTTAGTTCACCGTATTGAGATAATAAACAAAGTGCATATTTGATTCACTATACGTATAATTTGCAATAAGCTCGCGTGTGTGCCGGTAAGTATGTGTGTGTGTTGTTGTGTGTGTGCCTATGTGTGTGGTTGGCTTGTGGGGGTGTTGTGTGTGTGTGGTGTGGTGTGTGTGTGATGTGTGTGTGTTATGTATGTGGTGTGTGTGTGTGTGTGTGTGTGTGTGTGTGTGTGTGTTTGTGTGTGTGTGTGGTGTGTGTGTGGTGTGTGTTGTGTGTGTGTGTGTGTGTGTGTGTGTGCGTGCGTAGTTGCCGCATCGTACCTGTAACAGCAACGAGTGCACCGAGGATAGAATTGATGAGGTCTGCGACGTTAAGCTTCCAATCCCTAGTCAGGTAGCTAGATGTGTAAGTAAGGAAACTTCGCATATTATACGATAGCAAGATGTGATCAACATCTTGTGAGTAAAATCTCCATTTGCATTTATAGACGCCCATATAGCAACCAAACTAAGATAGACATTATTTCCCCAAAATATTCATATAAAAATACTAAAGTAATAGCACGACAGAACTTATAAACTTAAGTAACCCGTAAATTTAACCAATACAGCCGTTTAAAGTTTGAGGCGTTAAACATTGAACCCAATAAACGTAATAAGGCTATTTAAAAAAATTTAAAATATCTGCTACTTTAATTTCACACATCGCGTCTGTCAATTTGGACAGTATTTAATCCGATGGGATTCCGAACGAATGCTCATATCTATAACTGCGGAGTCGTCAACACCGACTCCCATGTTATCACAATCAACCTGATAACCCAGAATCTGACGTGCAGGTGAGCTTGATTGCTTTTATTACGTTAAATCATCGTCCTCGTCTATTGACGTATTCACTGCAGCAATAAACTACCAGCACACTTTGCGCGTGAGTCGAACACAGGCGTTCTACTCGTAATTCGACGCTAAAATTGCCGCCATTTCTAGAACACGCATCATTTCGGCTGCGCTTATCATTCTCGTCGGCGCACGCGGAGGTGAGAATTGATGACTGCGTGATGAGTGATGAGTGCGTATACGCGCCTCATGCAGACATTGGCAGTTTACCTGATAAAGCAACCCGTAATCCCTCCGCCTATGGACGCGTTGATTGTCGTAATTGCCGACCTGAAAGGAAAATGATTGTCCGATCTCGGGCCGCGAGAAATTTATTAGCGCCGAGTGACGCCATGTATGTTGAGACGGTAATTGTTATTGCCATACAAAACCTATACTAAACGATATCTGTCGTTATTATATACATAACGGCCCGCCTACTTGCTCGATTTTCCTGCGTGGATAAATGTCCTATGCAGGATATTACCTGGTCTGGGCAAAATTGAGTATATTATATATACTCACACACTCACGAATACACCTACTTAGCTGTCAGCTTCCACTTATGCCCGGTTATCCCGTATGTCGAGCCACAGTTGAAGCCCAGCCAGCCCCACCTGCAACAAAAGGAGATTGAAAGCAGTAATTAAGAGTGACCGGATATTGAAGGCAGTAATTAAGAGTGACCGGATATTGAAGGCAGTCATTAAGAGTGACCGGAGATTGATATTCTAATAGATCTTCGTAACTGTACTATTATCTTATGTACTTTATGTCATATATGCTCATAAGAGGGTGTAGAGGCTTGTGGGACATATCGTTAAGAAAATATCAAAGAAAATTGTTAATTAAATTTAATATTTGATCGACCTAATGCGGGATTCTTGTCTCGGCTAAAAGCGGTGCCATCATTACTTGTGGTGTGAATGGCAAACGAAACAATAGCTGATGTAATCCTAACCCTAACATTATATGTCTAAACTAAACCGTAACTATAATTAAAATACTAAATTTTATAAACAAAAAGTTTATAAAATGTAAACCCGGACGAGTAGTCCTTCTAGCCATCGAGATATATTATAGGTACGGGTCAATGCAGTCACTATAGCCCCGAGCGCGCTCGCGCTCTTTCTTTTTTAATCTCTCTCTCTCACACACAAACGTACACGCACACCTACACACACGCATGCACGTACACACACACACACACACACACCCACACACACACACCTACAGCGCACACACACACACAAACACCACACCACACACCACACACCACCACACAGCATACACACACACACACACACAACACACACACACACACACTAATTTACACTTTTACGATGCTTTATTATGCTTTCTTTACAAGCTCCTTCATCTTTTTCACGATGCAGTCTGGTAAGAAGCCGTACACGCTGCGCACCACGCTAAACACGCAAGGCCACGCACGCCCGCACGCACACACTGCACGGCTCGCACGCACACATGCACAGCATACACGTAAGCATAGAAGCGCACGCGCACGCATACACATGAGCGCGTACGCGCACCCACCACAAGCACGGCACGCAAACACACACACCCACACACACACACACACACATCACACACACTACACATCACACATACACCACACACACTAACCATTACACATACACACACACACACGCACACGCACACGCAACACGCCACACCGCACACGCACACACATACACACACACACACCACACACATCACACACACTACACACATACACACACACACACACACACACACACACCACATTACACGATACACATACACATACACACGCACACGCAACGCAACACGCACACACACACACAACACATAATCACACACACACACACACACTACACACACCACACACACACACACACTTTTTTACGGATGCTTCATTATGCCTCTTACAACTTCCCTTCATTCATTTCCGATCAGTCTGGTAAGAAGCGTACGCCGCGCCGCGCCACGTACACACGGCAAGCACGCACGCCAAGCACGCCACGCACGCACACATGCACGCACGCACGGCACGGCACCAACATGCAAGCACGCCACGCTTAAGCATAGAAGCCACACGCGCCACCACGTAAGCTAGAAACCACACGCGCACGCACACACACACACACACACACATTCACACACACACAGCACGCAGCGCACACTACACACACACACTACGCATCACACAACACATCATACACACACACACACACAGTCACCTACACGCACTGCGCGCCACACACACACACAGCATCACACACACACACACAACACACACACACACTACACACATACGCACACGCATATACAAATGCACACACCTGTACGCGCGTACACACACGCACACACAGTCACCTGCACACACGCGCGTACGCACGCACGCACACATTAATTACACTCATCATTACCGCGACCACTTCGATGCTAGTTACTAGATCGCTTATAGATAACTTATTGACATTGAAACCGACGATTGCACTCACAATCAATTTTTATAGATAGCTTTCACTTGCTGCTGTGAAAAATTACCGAGTATAAGTTAGCCGAAAAACCACAATTTCGCACGCCACTCACCATAGCATGAACAGACCGACGAGGGCGTTAGTCGCACAGACACTTACACACACGCACGCACGCACGCACGCACACGAGTCACCATAGCATGAACAGGCCGACGAGCGCGTTAGTCGCATAGTCACTTACACACACACACACATGCACACACACACGCACACGCACGCACGCGACTCACCATAGCATGAACAGACCGACGAGCGCGTTAGTCGCACAGTCACTTACACACACGCACGCACGCACGCACGCACGCACGCACGCACGCACGCACACGAGTCACCATAGCATGAACAGGCCGACGAGCGCGTTAGTCGCACAGTCACTTACACACACACACACGCACAGACACGCGCACGCACGCCACTCACCATAGCATGAACAGGCCGACGAGCGCGTTCGTCGGCGACCCCATCGGCAGCGCCGCCGAGCCTGCCGCGTAGCGACCCATCCGCGGCTTCAGCATGAGCGTGCCGACGAGGCCGGCGACGCCGCCGACGATGTGCACGACGCTCGAGCCGGCTATGTCGACGGCTCCGAGCTGCACGAGGAACCCCGCCTCTCGCCAGATCCAGGACGCCGGCAGCGAGTAGACGATCGTGTTGAGGAACGAAAAGAGCATGTAGGCGGGCAGCTTCGTGCGCTCGGCCATGACGCCCGACACGATCGTCGTCGCCGTCGTCGCGAACGACAGCTGAAAGACGAAGTGCGCGTAGCGCTCGCCCATGTGCTCCTCGTCGGCGTCGACGAAGAAGTAGCCGACGCCGAAGAAGGCGTTGCTGCCGGCCTGCTCGCCGAACGAGAGCCCGTAGCCGAACATCCAGTAGGTGATGCCGCCGAAGACGATGTCGACGACGTTCTTCACCATGACGTTGACCTCGTTGCGGCGGGAGCAGGCGCCGGACTCCAGCAGGCCGAAACCTCGACGATAAAATGTAGAAGCGAACACGTAGAAGAAAAAGTTTTTAAAGCGTAAGTTTTAATGAGTGATGGCTAATTTAATATGAAATGTAAAATAATATCGTAAGTGCATGTAATGTATGTGTGTGTGTGTGTGTGTGTGTGTGTGTGTGTGTGTGTGTGTGTGTGTGTGTGTGCGTGTGTTGGAGCCCTGTGTGTGTGTGATTGCGTTTGTAGTGCAGTGCGTGTGGTGGGTGCTGTGTGTGGTGTCTGTGGTGTGTGTGTGTGTGTTTGTGTGTTGTGATTGCGTGACGTGTGCGCGTGTATTGTGTGTGTTTGTGTGTGCGTGTGCGTGTGTTCGGGCGCGCTCTTGTGTGTGTGCGTGCGTGTGTGTACATGTGTGTGGGGTGTGGTGGCGGGGGGGGGGCCAGTGTGTAGAGGGAGGGCAGTGCGTGTGTTATATGTAGTTGGAGTGATAAGAAAACATGGTGCTGTTGTTGTTAATTAGTCGCCTTACCAAATATTTTTACTCTATGCCCTGCGCATGTCACAGTATCAGGAAACATACGATTATCCGTATAGTGTCGTGTGTGTATGTACGTGTGTGTGGTGTGTGGGCTGCGTGCGTAGTGTGTGGTGTGTGTAGTACGCTGTGTAGTGCGTGTGTGTTAGCTGTATCTGTGTGTGTGTACGTGGTGCGTGTGTGTGTGTGTGGTGTGTGCGCGTGTGTTGTGCTTTCGCTGCGTGTGCATCTCACTGTGTGCGTGTGTAGTGTGTGGCGTGTTTCTGCTGTGCAGTGCGTGCTTCGCGCTTGCGGCACTCTTGGGATGTCTACGTGGTGCGTGCGCTGCGTGTGTGTTGGTGTGCGCTTCACTCCGTTTCGCGCTCATGTGTATTGCGTGCGCGTGTGGACTTCTATGCTTACGTGCGTCTTGCATGTGTGCTGGCGTGCGTGCATTGTGCGCGGTGCGTGCGTGCTATGTGTGCGTGCGTGCGTGCGTGCTTGCGTGTGCACGTGCGCGTGCGCGTGTACGGCTTCTTACCAGACTGCATCGTGAAAATGATGAAGGAGCTTGTAAGAATCCATGTCGCGTCGTCCCACGTTGTTTGGGCGCTTGAGCGTCGAAATGGTATCGGGACGGTGAATGTCGTTCCGTTGGCGTTTGTGATATTAAGCATGATAACTGGAAGCTCCTCGTTACGGTACCAATCGTCATAATCAATAACGACGTCCATAATTAATCGGACTGCACGTACACAACGTAACTGAAACAGCGGCAGCTAGACGTCAACGCCGAATGAGTTTCCCGATTCGATGACACTTTAGAATATCATTACGTCATAAATCATTAATCGTAATTTCTAAAACACAATACACATTAGAATTTTAATTTTCGGCCGAAATGCACCGTTCTCGAAATAGCCAACATGTTCTGCTTGCATTTATGACAAATACGACATACGCATTTACGCTCTCCTATGTGTCATAGGCAGATTCTTCCTATGACGAATATTGACGAGTCAACTTCGTTCCGCTTTACAGCTGAAATTCACTGCTTGCGTTCATAATACATAATAGCGCTCCTAAACTCCTATGATGCGCACAACACATACAACAATATTTGTCATAGGAAGAATCTTCCTATGACAAATAGTGTCATAAGAGAGCGTATATGCGTATGTCGTATTTGTCATAGATTCTAGCAGAACATGTTGAAATAGCTTATCAGTCTGGCGCATTCACTTACCTACATAAAACCTTAAACTCTCTCCGGACTCTACCGTAATATGAATAGGCGCTATTCGGTGCTATTCGGTTATTTTAGTAAATAATGCGAGAGCTCGAGAACTGCAATAGAGCGACCACGAAATTGCTCAGTATGTTTAGCGTGGTCGGCGGCACTTCATACGGAACACAAACATACGCTGATACTGGGCACGCCAGCTATCTGACTTCGTTCCCGATCTTTGGTTCATAACCTCGCGGCGTCTTTTTTTCTCCGTTGCTGTTGTGAACGTCTTGCCGTAAGCCTGCTTGCGCGCGTACGACCGGCGGCGCGTGTCTACCGTCATCGTTTACATGCTCGCGCTGGCCGTAGCTTAGCAGCCGTAGTGCGACGCCTACACTACACGAGCTTTCACACCCAGCGCCCCGTGACTGTGAACGGCGATCGTGCTACGCGGATCCCCGTATACGCTCTCTCGCGCTTCAAGCTACGAGAACCGGATATTTTCATCACGCGTTAAGCGCGAGAGAACACGAAGATCGATCACGTGCAATGTCGCTCGCCGCCTGTCACGCACAGCATGATTATATTACCTGTAGCAACCGATGCGCGCATTTCGTAGCTATACCTGCCTTTTGCTTTCATAGTGGTGAAGACAACCGTGATTGCTCCGGAGCCTAGCAGGGGCTTCGTGCTATGTCAAGATCTAGAATAGCCGACGAGTAAAATGAGGTGTCGCATTACGGCCGCACATCAATGTACCCAACAATGGCCCGATCTGTTAATCCGTAGCTCCTATGAAGTTTCTAGGATAATTAGTATAGATGAACTACTGTCTATCTACGCGTGAAAATCTGCTGCGAGCATGCATAAGCCACGTTTGATGACGGACGGTGCTTGCCACGAACCTAGCTGACAGGACATAAGGATTCTGTAAGGTTGACGTGCAGAGCGCATGCTCGTGCCGCCTCATGCAAATAGGCCATAGACGAAACGCCTTGTGGTTCGATAAAATCCACGGTTTGTCATACATACATACATCGTCGTTCAATGCTACAGCTTTTGATGCAAGATCGTCATACAAATATCTATGTCGCTATTGCGCGATATACTATATCGCGTCTTCCGCTACTACCTTTTTACGACCCATTGCGCAGCCTATTAACAATTTACTACGATGTCTTACGATCAACTTTCAATTGCATTTTCCTAACAATTATTTTGTGAGTTTCAGCTAATAGTGATAAAGAAGTATGTTTTTTAATCATCAATTTTATGTAATTAAATATTAATTAAATTGATGTAATTTCTTAATATTAATGTTGAGTATTATTGTAAGTAGGTATGAAGTCTTGATAGTAAAATCTTAGATGTATTTGACTGGTTCAGTTCGTATGAAAATTAATGTGCCTATTTTGACAAGGTTTTACTTTTTCTTTAAAAATTGTGCCGTTTGTACCATTTTCTGTTGGTATGTCCAAAGTGAAAGTGAACTCGTGTTCTAGGCAGGATTATTGTTATAGCACTCGATTATATGCCACAATCGACGGAAGCCATAAGCGGGGGACACACTATGCGGGTTTATTCGCACGACCGCAGCGTTATTCCCATAGTGTGTCCCCTGCTTTAAACAGGGGGTCCCCGCGAGTGCCAACGAGTTTCACCAAAATACCTCAAACATAAATGGCGGAAAATTCGCTGAAGATACCTTATCATGCACCATCGCAAACCCCATTAAAGCAACACACTTGCATTGCCAGTAAATTCTGACTCAAAGTGATAATCTATGCGTTTAATTGTATCAGCGTGCATAACCTATGCGGGTTTCCGCACAACGGCTAAATATGATGACGGCATCTTAGGGCAGACTTGCACGAAAACATGCTGGCAATTCTTTACCTACTCGCGTGTTAGTACAAGATGCTGCGAATCCGGAGGCGAAACAATATCAATATTATTCGCGATTATCTTCGCCAATTTTGCGCGCGAATAACGTTGCAGACAGATGAAAGCTAGATTTAATCTAGCGTGTATAATATTATAATAAAGACGTTAATTCCTTCATGCTCCATTTACCACGTCCACAATAACAGCATCATGTGCTAATTATATACCGCTGTGTGTGTGCGCGCGCGCGCGTGTGTGTGTGTGTGTGTGCGTGCGTGCGCGCGAGTATGTATTGTTTATTTGGTCGTTTTGTTTGGTTTGTAACTATGGTTGATTTTTAGAACACATTGAGCGTAATGTCAACCGTGATGATTTATGCTAGCATATATATGATAAAGACGTTAATTCATTCATGTTCCCGTTACTTCGTCCACAATAACAATATCGTGTTCTAATTATATACCGCTGTGTGCGCGCGCGCGCGCGTGCGTGCGTGCGTGCGGTTGTATGCGCGCGCCCATGTTATGTGTGTGCGTCGCACATAGGTCCAACGATTCTTCCCGGCCTACAGATCCTTTTGGTAGAAACTGGGCATGGGCGAACATAAACATACATCTAAGCCTATACTACAGCATAGGTTAATAATTACGGAGGCTTTCTGAATACTAGACTCACGCGTACACGTGGAACGTCTAGAACTCACGTTAAGCAATCGCGGCAACGCTGTTGGGCACTGCCAAAATGTCTAGCAATTTGATCTGAATCTCTAAAAACTCCTTGAAGTTTTAAGTGGTTAATACACTATTAAATAAATTAGTCATTGTCCTAGAAGAGACCGCGCTATAAGAGACTCAGCGTTATAGGAATCCACGTTCCATCCGAACTACGATGTATTACCTTGGTGTCAGGTGGCCCTATCCCCGTCCCCACATCGAACTCCCGCCCGTAAACATGCGAACGCGCGTTCTCCGACTGATAACAAATAAAATCACGTCTGCCTAAACATTATCTTTATTCTGTTTCACACATGAATACACCAGCATTATATTGATCGACGGACGGGGTGTTAATCAGATCCTGCGCAATCTTACACAATAACAAATTTGATTTCGTAAGGTGGAAGAGCAAACATACGTCACTCGTTTACACATAGTATTGCGACGTAGTACTACGTCTCACAAAACGTAGCGTCGGGTTTCTCAAACTGCTAACAGTTCCTGTAGTTGATCAAGAGCCTATATTAACCCACGTTGTTGAGGGTGGGGGGGCACATACACACACTTAGGACTGAATAAATTAACACACTGGTAATTACCATCCTTAATATCACATGGCATGGTAACGAATTAGCAATGTCGGCATTTTTTAGCACCGCGCGCGAGACACCCGCGTGCACGTGTTACCGTTACGTGTTACCGTCAGCAGCCGCTGAGAAGCTTACAAGCCTCAGATGGTAGCACCTACATGTAACACAATGTAATGTACCGCATATAATCCGGTGTGTATAATATAGTATATATATATTATATATCTATAATATACACTCCTGGTGTGATATGCGCGCGATGCGTGTTACATAGCAACGTGCAGTCATCCGCAAACCTATCCGATGAACATCAATCCACGATCGATTTATTGATCCGCGTATCGATCAACACACATCGGCCAGTGGCGCACAGTGGCTGCTGATTTTTATTGCAAACACGCATCCACGCACACAACGCGCGTACGAACAGAGCGAGTAGAGAGGAGGCAGGCGCCTCTACGAGTTTCTAGATCAGGAGCAGGCGACTATACGAGATTCTAGCTCCGTGTCTGATGTGGGTCGCCACCAATATCAGAGCGAGAAGAAGAGATCGTCTAGCACAACAGTATAGCGTCACAACACAGACACAGATATAGCTGTTACGTAAAAGTTTCGGGTTCGACTGTGCGTTTGAGTAGCAATAAATAATCACTTTAGCACAGTAATGACAATGACATAGAGAAAACTGGTTAAAACATGAAGCGGGGTAAAATGCAGCAATTTTTATGCTAGCAACGTAACAAACAGACCCAATCTTAATATTAGAACAAATGCAACTTGTTCATAACGGGTCTGTGTCTGCACTATAGGCGCAGGCCCGCTACGCAGTTTGAAACAAGTGCGGTTACTAAATAATAATATTAAATAGAAATTAAAATTTAACAAGGACCATTTACTAAACGGTAAAAACGCCATGGCCGTAGCAAAGACAGCCACCATAAACAGTACCGGACAGCACACTTTTATACTTTTATAAGATCTTAGAGTTACCTGTGAGCCAGATAAGTAGAAAACCAAAAATAAAATAAAAATCTGACTAGTGAAAAGCTGCAGCGTTTGGTATTTTTAAAACCGGATTTTCACGTACCCTTTCAGGGTCTAAAATGCACAAAAAAACGTTCGTGACTGACACATAAGACCTATTTCTATGAAGTGCAGAATGACTTAGATGGAAAACAGATTTTGGACTCGCCAGTGCAAAAACATACGTGGTAACAAATGTCGTCCACGACCTTTTGCAAACATATAAAGCACGCTAACGGAATCAGCAGCACGGATGAAAGCGCACTGGAGAGCCGAGAGCTTGGACTGCATCAGCTGCAGCGGCTTGGAGAGAGATCAGCTGCAGCGGCGGCGCGAGAAACTCCCGCCCGCACCGCCGCCACCGCCACCGCCGCCGCCGCCCGACGCGGCACTTATATCGTCTCGCCGAGGTAGGCGGCCTCGGGCAGGTTCCACGTGATCGGCTCGAAGTTCTCGTAGGCGAACGAGTAGAGATGCGAGCGGATGAACGCCTCCTTGTCCTCGGGCTCCGGGTAGTAGGCGGCGTACTTCTGCTCGTAGGCGTGATCGGCGATGCTGACGGCGATCTGCACGGAGATGTCGCGGATGTCGGTGAGCGGCGGGTAGAGGCGGCCTTCGGCGAGGTGCGCCTCCGTGACGAGGTTGGCCAGCGCCTGCAACGGTCGAGACGAGAGAGAGCGCGGGGTCAGCGAGGCAGCGAGAGAGCGCGCGCGATCAGTGGGGCAGCGAGAGACATAGAGAGAGAGAGAGAGAGCGCGAGAGAGAGGGCGAGAGAGGACGAGAGAGAGAGCCGTCCGCGAGGCGGCGAGAGAGAGAGAGAGGAGAGAGAGCAGAGAGGAAGAGAGAGAG